GTATTGTCCAAGGTTTCTCCCCATGTGATAGTCTGAAATATGGCCTCGTGGGAAGGGAAAGACCTGATCATCCCCCAGCCTGACACCCGTGAAGGGTCTGTGCTGAGGAAGACTAGTATAAGAGGAAAGAAGGCCTCTTGGCAGTTGAGATAGAGAAAAGCATCTGTCTCCTGCCTGTCCCTGGGCAATGGAACATCTCAGTGTAAAACCCAATTGTATGTTCTGTTTACTGAGAAACGAGAAAACCGCCTTAGGGCTGAAGGTGGGACGTGCTAGCCTAGCGGCAATGCTGCTCTTTATGCACTAAAAAGGTTTATGGAGATGCTTGCATATGCATATCAAGGCACAGCACTTTTCCTTAAACTTATTCATGTCATGGAGATCTTTATTCATATGTCTTACTGCTGACCTTCTCCCTACGATGATCCTATTATCCTGCCACTTCCCTTTTTCTAAGATGGGTTTATAAAATTATGGGACATACTGCTTCTGGAAGATGTGATTCCAAAGGGTCATCCCAAGTAGCAAATGATGATCACCACTGTGTCTTTCAAGGATAGTAGGGTCAATTAACTGCTGTTTTCTTCATTTTGTTGAGCTCCACCATGAGCTAGTCATGTCACTCTAGGTAATATCAATCAATAACCATATTATTTTGCTTAATACAGTTGAAAATTACTTGAGTTCCCTAGGAAATTCTAGGTGTAAGGAGAGGGTAACACAAAAATAACCACATGGGAATCAACATAGGAAGTGATAGAAAGGGACAGTGTCAAGAAATCTCTGATTTAATTATTTCATCGTGTGTGCCAAAACCAGTTGGCCCCAGAATGAACAAGCAGCTTGCACCTTAGCAGGACCCGAAGAGAAAATGAATGTTTACTACATCTCAAGAGTGTATTTTCATTCAGTCTAGTTTTGCGTCTCCTCCCCAAACTGATAATTGGGCACTAAGAAAAGCTCTCAAGTCCTAGGTAGAGTTTGAAAGTATCCTTAGAGAAGTGAAGAGTGGATTTCCAGGCTACAAGGTGCTATTATCAGAAGGATTTAAGTAGGTGAAGGGCACATATACAGGAACGCAGGGATGCCTTTCCATGTCTTTCAGGGATCCTTCATCTTTTAAAACAATGCGCATTTCTGATCAGGTAAACACTCACATTAACATGGGTTACACAGTTAACTCATATGACATCAACAGCAAATTTGTTCTTTTTTAAATCCAGGTAAGGTCTATTCATGTCATGTCTCTAATCTCTACATAAAACCAAGAATTACATGTTTAGTTTTATGTTTTGAAATTTAATGAAACAACCGCTCGTTGTTTCTGTGAGGGGCAAGAAAGATAAAACATAATTAATGTTATTTAGGTAAACTTTTCCACCAACTTTTATATCTTCAAATTCTAAAAAATGCAAATCTGCTTACAAAATGAACTGAGTCCGGATCCAAATTTAGCTGAAGCTATTTAAGACTTCTAACCGCAGTTTCATAATCTGAAACATGTGAATGTGTACAAAATGATTTTGATTGAAGATGAAATGTATAAAGTACTTAGTATACATTAACAAAATATATGTATCATATATTGATTTGTGCTGCACCTGTACTGAATTAACCAGGTTTCAATAATGACTTGGGCACAATACTAGGAAAAGTCTCTTCCAATAGAAATATATTAGGTTGGTGCAAAAGCAATTGCGGTTTTTGCCATTAAAAATAATGTCATTAAAAGCAATTAATGGCAATTGCTTTTGCACCAACCTAGTATCATTGGTTAACCAGAAGTTATGTAGCCTATGCAAAATCAATGCCAGCAAAATGTTAAACAGCCACCCTTTAATATTCCCCTATTGACTAAATAAATAAATAAATAAATAAATAAATAAATAAATAAAGGCAGCAAGAGATAGAAAAGCTGTGGGTATGAGGCTTGCTGATAATCTGGGCTGGTGAGAACATAGACTTGGAAATAAGCCTTGACTTGTATAGTTAGCCTACTTTTTATCACAATCAAGTAACCTTCCTAACTTCTCAAAAAGTAGCTAGAAAGTTCTAGTTTTCTTAAAGAACACAGTGATAATCTTTCACTTACTATCTGCAAAATGCTAAACATCAAGCACAAAACAATTCTTTCCTTCCAGAAAGTAGTCATGTAGAGTACAGTGTTAATGGCAATTCTGTGACTTGTTTTCAGGGGTTTAGCATTTTCATTTAGCTGATTAAAATCTGTTGTAGATGATAATTATGGCAGTTTTTTAAATCATTCAAACACTCAAAAATGATTTTAAAATGTTTAAATGGCTTGTAGCAGATTTTTATTTCTCAAAGGGTTTCTTTCTACTTATGGAAAATTTGCTTAAATTATGCCCCTTTGTCATATTCTCAGTAAATGTTAAATCAATGTACAATGAGTGGATTTGTATTTCTAAAAATAACCTTTTTCACAGGAAGAAGAACTAAGGAAGAGTGGGGAAGCCAAATATGCCCACTTGAGTGATGAGCTTCATGTATTAATTGAAGTGTTTGCTCCACCTGGGGAAGCTTATTCACGTATGAGTCATGCATTGGAAGAGATTAAAAAATTCCTGGTTCCTGTAAGTGTCTTTCATTTTTTACAATGATGTTTCTTATCAGCTTCTATTTTAAAATGCACCTTTGATCTTCACTGACTTTTTAAAAGGAAACTCATATTGCAAACCAATGATCTATCCATAAGTCGATACAAAGCTAAAATAAAATAAGATACCAAAACCGTTTAACACAGGACCTGGCATGTTGTCATATAGTGATCATTTAACGGCAATATTTGTCATGCTGGTGTCATGCCAGGCACCAGTTCATAGTCATGAAGAAAAAGACATGTTTATAAACATAAATATATAATTGAACTTGTAGACTTTTTTATTGCATCTTAATCACTTGAAAAGTTATCGTTGGCGATTTGCAATTAATAGGGAAATTATTTCCTGGTATAGTGGAAAGGGAAAGAGATCAGATATGTAATAATTTGAAATAAGACAATGATATCATTTAAACATATCAAATGTATTTTCATGTGATGGTATGCCAGTTGTTGGCTCATAATAAAACATAATATAAAATAATCAATATTAGTAAAGCCAGACATTTGTTGACTTTAAGCAAAAATTGGAAAAATAAACTCACTCTACTATGTGACAGCAACAGAGAATGTTTATTTAGTAGGTCAACAAATTCAGGGTTACATACTGAGTAGAATTCTCTACTGATTTTTTAAGAAATAGAGGAAGGTTAAATGAATGAAGCTTTCCTAAAGGTTGACAATTTAGCATTCTAGGAAGAAGTCGTTCAAATAGAAATCTTGGCATCAGACTTAGAGCTGGGAATAAGATAATTAGAAGAGAATGCTGAGTAAAGTTTTCTGGAGTGTCTGGCAGAGTCTTCAACAGAGAAAGCACGCAGCTAAGATAGATCTACACAATGAAGAAACTGTAGATTTCTAAATAAGAAATAAACTAAGAGGAAATGGTGGGTAAGGTTCATTGATTGGCAGTGATTTTAAGAATGGGAAAAGAAAAATAAAACCAGAGAATTTCAAGAATTTAAAAGTATCAAGATCTAGTCACATAATCTATTTGTATGTCCAGTTTAAAAATTAATTTCTCTCAAGACAAGGTTATAGAATAATTGCAGACTGTTCTGATTATTCCTTAACTTCATATGCACAATGAATTTCTGCACAATTTATTATCTGGTGCTCATCTGAACATCTCCCTAACTAGATCTCATATTTGTTAAGAATGAGGATGCTGCGTTTTCTTTTCCTTTTGCCTCCAAACTAAATGCCTAGTGCTGTATTGTGTAAGGAATTTTACTGTATTTAGTTCAGACCATACCTCTGATAACATATATAGTACAGAAATAAGACTAGGACTGTACATTACTAACACACTTCATGACTTCAAGTCACTTAAATTCTCAAGGTTTCAGTTTATTCATCTTTAAAATAAAGATAGTTATCATTGACCAGCCTCTATCACAGTTATGGTGAATATTAAATGGGATAATGCATATGAAAGGACTTAGAAAATTATAAAGCTGAATATTAATGTATGGTTTAAATATATTATGGAAAATATAATAGAAATATCTAGGGATGATTTTCTGCATAGTCATTAATTGATATGTATATACACATGCCATATATATATATACATCTCACTTGCTCACTTCCTAGACATAATGATGCTTGTAATTATTTCATTTATATACTCTCCTCTGAAATATATACTGTGTGAGGATAGGGCTGGGTGGTAGTATCTCTTTTGGCCAACACTATATCCCCATCTTAGCATCATGCCTAGCACAATAAATATTTATTTGATAGTTTGACTGATGGAATGATGGAATGGCTGACTAAAGGCATGAGGAGTGATGCAGGAGATAAAATAGCTATCCAGGTAAAATTTGGGGGCTAATACCCCACAATCAAGATGCACCATATATACAGACAGAGTTGAAGAATGAAAATATTACCATGACTGGTGTGACATGGCCATACCTACCTCTATTTTCATCTTGTATATCTAACTTCTTATCATTGCACCTCAGACATGCTGGCTTTTGTTCAGTCAACAATCCAGGCTCACTGTTCATTAAGCGCCTGTGAAGATTTTTCTCCAAAGTGTTGACATAGCTGTTTTCTTAGCATCCAGCTGTCAGCTTTAATGTTAGCTTTGCAGAAAACTCTTCCCCAACCACACAATCTAAAGTAGCTGCCCCCTTTACCTTCTATCATATAGTCTTACTATATTTTGTACATAGTATCACTAACCACTGTATTTAACATTATAATTCATTGTTCCATTATACCCTAGCCCTTTTCACTTATTTATTTTCCTCATAGCTCCTATCACCTTCAGATATTTTATGTGTGTGAGAGTGTGTGTGTGTGTGTGTATGTGTCTATCTTGCTTATTGTTGGTTTCTATGCTAGAATATAAATGTCATGAGGGCTATTCTGATATGTCTCTCAATGTTTTATTAGTATATTTTCCCATCAATGAAAGTCATAAATTTATCCCATTTGCCTTGCTTGTGTCAGCAGAAAGCAAAGAATGGGAGAACCGCCAGGGGCAAAAATGAACTGCCAGTGTTTTTTATTCTGTGAAATCACTTGGTGATCTAAGTTTCTTTTGATATTTGGTATTAAAGCCCACAGAAATGCTAACATGTCTATACATTAACACTTATAAACATTGTAGATGAAGAATTCTAAGCAGTAAGAGTCATGCTAGAACAACAAAGAAAGCTAATATAGGGCAAGACTGGAATTCCACTGACATCTTGTTCTTCTACGAAAGGGAGTAATTTTCCATGGTAGGACTTTTTACCTTCTTCTACCTCTTATATGTTATCCAGAATTTACTCAACCTGCTGTATGTCCAGGAGTTGTAATTGTCCAAGATAACCAACTTTAGA